AAATCACCTTTTATTACTATTTTTAAAAATCTGGTTTAAATGAGTATATATACACAGATGACCAGTTTTGCAAATTCCATGCTCACACATACTATGTGAAAGAGATGAGGGGGTAAAAATGTATCTAAGTTTTTTTTTTTTTTTTAGATTTTTATTTATTTATTAGAGAGCGAGCAAGAGAGAAACAGCGTGAGAGAGGAGAGGGTCAGAGGGAGAAGCAGGCTCCCCGCCGAGCCGGGAGCCCGATGTGGGACTCGATCCCAGGACTCTGGGATCATGACCTGAGCCGAAGGCAGTCGCTTAACCAACTGAGCCACCCAGGCGCCCCTCTAAGTTTTAAATCAAAATGTGAAAAGTAGCTCTTTGAGTTATGAGATTACAGATATCCTTGGTTTTCTTCTGTTACGTACTTGTCCTGTCCAAGTTCTCACCAGTATATGGCATTTTATAATGATTGAGAACCAGGGGGATAGCGGTTACACTTGGGGAGGTGATGGTGTCTGGAAGGGGTGCCAGGGACATTTAAAGGGTGCTGGTAATGTTCTGGTTTTTATTCAGCGTGCTGCCTACATGGGTAGATTGCCTTGTGAAAATTCATCAAGCTGTACACTTACGATTTCTGCCCTTTTTGCTGTGTATATAAAAATTTTTTACAATTTAAGGTAGTGCATTCATTCATACTGAAGAGTTCTTAAATATGTGCGATTCAGCCTCATGACCAAGTGTGGGAAATGGGAAATCTTTACTGTTTTTGCCCTGGAAAAGAGAAAGGAGCTTCCATGTCCCAATTTCAATTCTATTTATAAAATGCCGTATACTGGTGCTCTCTCTCTCTCTCTCAAATAAATCTTTTTAAAATGTTCACAAGAGGGGCGCCTGGGTGGCTCAGTCTGTTAAGCGTCTGCCTTCAGCTCAGGTCATGATCTCAGGGTACTGGGATCGAGCTCCGCATCGGGCTCCTTGCTCAGCAGGGAGTTGGCTTCTCCCTCTCCCTCTGCCCCTCCCCCTTCTCATGCTTTCTCTTTCTCAAATCAATAAATAAAATCTTAAAAAAAAAATGTTCACAAGAACTTTATAATTAAAACATCCAGAAACAATTCAAATGTCTAACAATAGGAGATGGATAAACAAATTATACTATATTGACAGAATACTACTCAGCGAAGAATAAACACCAAAAGACACAACATAAATGCCTCTCAAAATATTATGTTGAGTGAGGGAAGCCAGACAAACAAAACAAAAAACTCACAGTGCTTGATTCCATGTAGAAGAAAAAAACAACAAAGTGGTCTTCTCCGAAGGTGGAGGTATGAGAGTGATGGGATTATATTTGTTATATGGGTGAAATCAATCGCCAACATGCATCAAACCTGTGTAGTGAACTTACCCTCCCCAAGGAGTTCCTGGGATCAGAGATCTCTCAAGAACAGTGCCATTCTCCACGAAAATGCTTTTAAAGATTCTACTAGTGTTGCCTCATGCAAAGGCCCACAGAAATCTTACTGGATCATCCACTCCAGCACTGTAATTCATTGAACCCTTTCAAGTCCTATCAGGATAGTATGGATATGGATTTGTCATATCATTCAATATCCCATATATTACCTAGTATATGTCTACACCAGTCACTCCAGAAACTGTAATGACCTCTTCTGATTTAATCCATGTCAATATATTTTAATAAGTTTGATCTACTTTGGATGGGCACCTCCAAATCTATGTCCATAAACATTTCCTTGCTTGCTTAGGATGAGAAGTCCTAGTGAATGCTTTTAATGATTCTTGAGTGTCACTCATATCTTCTCTATTATCCTTCCACAATTCAAAGTCTGGGCAGTTATTATAACTATATAACTATATTCTGGATACTAGCCAAGCAAACAAAGATGGACTAAGAGAGGTGGGGCTCCTCCATGAGGACCAGATACACATTGTGGCTTAAAGCTCTCTAGGCCCTCTGAATCTTGACAGATGTACTTATGCCGGTAACAATGATCTCAGTCTTTTTCACTGAATGCTCGAAACATCACACAAGCTACCAAGCATAGGTAATCTGAATTATTAGTGCAGACGGGACCACTGTCTGAATTTGGTTGACAGCAATTAGTCCTAAGGTTTACAGCAATAGGAGATTCTTTCAACAGATCTGCCTAAAACCTGGAGATCAAGTCAATGAATCAAGGCCTTCCATTCATTTATTCATCTACTTGATAAATATCTATTAATGACCTACAACATCTAAAGCACCTTTCTTGTCCTCATGGAGATTACATTCTGGCACTGGGAGATACACAAATATTAAATGGTTTAATGGGTAAAGTAAGGGTTAGAGAGAAAAATAATGCAGGATGGGAAGCGGAGCCCACTGCTTGACAGGTTTGAACATAACACCTAATTTTTACTGGGAGAGTAAAACTCAGGTCTTGACTTTCACAAGCCCAGTGAGTTTGCAGGCCTTTCCCCTCTGACTTGAATGTATTTACTCAACTTATCTTTGAAAACACCTGTTCATTTTTAAATGTCTAGACTATGTAGCATTTCTCTGAGAACCTTCGGGGTTTCAAAACCATTCAATATTGATCTCATTCCCTTCTTGATGTTAACTCTAAACAGTGTTCATTTTCTTGTACCACTTTGCACGCTATACTGTAGAATTGTACATTCAATTTGAGCTCTGTAAAATCTAATTCTCTGTCCTTTGTACAAAATTTAGACTACCACTCGATATTTGCATTTTTGGTTTTTTAAAAAAGATTTTATTTGAGAGAGAGAGAGCATGGAGAGGGCCAGAGGGAGAGGGAGAGAGAAACCCAAGCAGACTCCGCACTGAACTCAGAGCCTGATGCAGGACTCGATCTCACGACTCTGATATCAAACCTGAGTCGAAACCAAGAGTCAGATCAACCGACTGCACCACCCAGGTGCCCCACCACTTGGTATCTCAGAGTCCTGTCATTAAGAAAAAGTAAGGCGGTGTCATGATACTGAAATCATGAGGCTGAAGGTGTTATGTAATAACTCACTTATTTATTTTCATGGCACCTGAGGCAATGTCTGAGAAAGATCTGAGAAGGAAAGCTAGCACAAGACCAAAAAATGTGTTGGGTTTCACCTAGGTCTCACTTACAGTCATCTGAGGCCACATGGATTTAGAATGTACCCATCTAAATGGTACTCTTTCCACCGCAGAAATATGCTATGAATACAGCATATAGTAGAACAAGGACCTGGAAAAATTTTTTTTTTTTTTTAAGATTTTATTTATTCATTCGATAGAGAGAGAGCACAAGTAGGCAGAGCAGCAGGCAGAGGGAGAGGGAGAAGCAGGCTCTGTGCCGAGCAGGGAGCAGGACGTGGGGCTCGATCCCAGGACCCTGGGATCACAACCTGAGCCGAAGGCAGACGCTTAACCGACTGAGCTATCCAGGCACCCCAGGACCTGGAAAAATTCTTAATGAATGTGTGCATAATCCAGAAGTTCACTGTTAAAACTCTACTCTGGAGACAGTCCTGTAAATGGGCCCAGAAGATATGGAGAAGATTATCAGTGGATTTTTTGGAACAGGAAAAACTGAGAAACCACCGCCCCAGGTATTCAGCAACAGAGGGATGGGGACAAGTGGGGGTGCATTTGTGCAGGGTGGCTATGCTGTGGAAAAGGGTAACCTCATTTAATGTATATGTAAATCTCAAAATCAGTTACAAATGCAAGTCATAGAAGAATGCAGAGTGTGATTCCCTTTCAAGTTCAAAACCAGAAATTTCATTTAGGATTACATCAACATGTAATAAAACAATAATGAAAAGCCAGAGAACTGTAACCTGACTTTGTCAATTAGCTCCCTGAGGTACTGAGGATAAAAAAGAAATGGCTTTTCAAGGACACTCAGTGGATTTTCTGAGGTACTGGCAATATTCTCCTTGTTAGCTTGGTTGGTGAGTTCATGAGTATTTACTCTTCTCTAAACTGGCACATGTGATTTACAAATGTTTTTATATATGCAGTTAAGAGAAATTCAAGAAAAAAAAACAACAAACCATGCGTGCTCAGTTTAGGAACATTTATCCCTAACATCTATCTGTGACATCTCTTAACAGCTAGCCCTGGGGATGCTCCTGTGTCAGTCTCCGCCTCTCTCTATTCTTGTTCATGGGCAATAAAAACAGTGACAAGATCTTTAAAATTCAGCAATTGTAGGAAGTGTGGGAGAAAATTCAGGTGACACCATGGTCAGGTAATCCAAACCTACATTTGGAACCATATTTGGAAGCCATTTTTAGGATGCAAAGCCTCAAGTAGTAGCTGCTTGTTCTTTCATATTGGGTGATGTCTAATGTTCTCCCATTTGAGGGGACCTCCGCACTTGATCTGAAGGTAATACAGTGTCTTTCTTGTTAGGATAGAAGCAAAAGCCAAGAAATGATCTCCTTGCCTACTCTTTGGGAGTTAGGACACAAGCATTTGTAGAGCATTACTGCTCTTTTTTGATGGCCTTGTGTGGGAGCAGGAGGCCAGAGCTGCCCAGGCCATGGGGTAGTGCTTTCACTTTCTGCTCTTCAATCAGATTTCCTTTGTTCCTCTCCATTTTCAGAAGTGGGTTCATTGCTATTCCATCCATACAATGAGAACTTGAGACATTGAATAAACTCCTTTTTAAGAGAATCGGCATCATTTATGCTACTTGTTACCAAGATCTTGACTGATTGTTAAATAACTAGAATATTCACATTTCCAAGTCCAGTTAGCTTTCGTTAATATTCCTTGATACGAATTCGCTGATGTCGAGCAAGCTGTGATCTGCATCTAAAGGACTGCCCACATTCAGGGCAATCAGGGGGCTTCACTCCACTATGTGTCCTATTGTGCGTGACAAGTGAAGAGTGGTTACTAGAAGTTTTCCTGCACACGTGACATTCGTAAGGTCTTTCCCCTGTATGACTCCTCCTCTGAATGATGAAATGGGACGTATAGGTAAAGGTTTTTCCACGTTCCTTACATTCATAGGATTTCTCCCCAGTGTGAATTCTCCTGTGTAGGGTAAGTTGCATGATACGGCAAAAGGTATTTTTGCAGTCCATACACTGATACGGTTTTTCTCCAGTGTGAACCCTCTGATGCTCAATCAGGGAAGAGAGACGTATAAAGGACTTCTTACACTTACTACATTCGTAGGGTTTTTCTCTGGAGTGAATTTTCTGATGTCTAATGAGCTGTGCACTTTGAGTGAAGGCCCTGCCACAGTCCTTATATTTGTAGGGTTATTCCCCACTATGAATTCTCTGGTGATCAGTCAGAGCTGAGGAATGGCTAAAGGCCTTTCCACCTTCGCTGCACTCATGGGACTTTTCTCGAGTATGTGTACTGTGATGCTGAGTGAGATGAGTCATCTGGCTGAAGGTTTTCCTACATCCCTTACATTCATACGGTCTCTCACCTGTGTGAATTCTCTCATGCTGGTTAAGATGTGCCCTCTGATTGAAAGCTTTACAACATTCATTACACTTACAGGGTCTGTCTCCTGTGTGGATTCTGATGTTGAACAAGAGTTGATCGACGACTAAAGGATTTCCCACACTCATGGCACTGGCCACGCTCCTCCTTAAGACTTTTCTGATGGATGAAAAGGCGCGTTATTGCTGCAGGAAGTTTTCGCATATTCTCTACATATGCTGCTTGCTCTTTTCATCACTATTTCATGTTGGAATGTTCCCTCTTTTATACTCTTCCTTGGAGATAATTCCTTGCTCTCCCATATTGACTCACTCTCTGAAAACGAATATATAAATATATTAATATGAAGAAGCATACATACTACTACTGTTGACATTCTCCGCTTAAAGACTCTAGTACTTAAAGATATATATGTACAAGGACATTGTCATACTATTTGGCAAAAAAGCTGGAAACAACCATTGAAAGTGTCTATTTGAGTTGATGACATTATGTCCAACAGTCCGGCTCATTTACGAAACTATTAAAAATAACTGAGTTTCAGCTATATGGACTGGAGGAGATAAAGCTGACTGAAAAGACCAAGTTGCAGAGTAACAACTATAGAAAGATATCTATTCTGTAAGAGCAAGAAATAATAAGATGCTCCCTGTATGTGTGTGTTGTGTATTAACATGGATGAAAGTGTGAATGTACACCTACTATATTATTACCATTGGTCCTCTAGAGTGGTGAGAATGAAAACACATGCAAGGAGATAATGAATTTTTTCTCTTCAGAGCATGTCACTGAATACCTAATAAAATAAACCCATCTTATTTTTATAAGTTTAAAAGATTTTTATTATCGCATGTTTTAACTAGCCATCACTCACCCAATCCAATCATTTCAACAACGAAACACTGATGACACAAGAAAGTACATATCCAATTGGTATGGATAATGAGTGATACAAAATCTCAGAGACGGGCAGATATTTGGAGATAGAACTTTATTTTTTTAAGATTTTTTATTTATTTAATTCAGAGAGTGAGAGAGAGAGCAGGAGCAGGGGGAGGGGCAGAGGGAGAGGGAGAAGCAGACCCCCCCCTGAGCAGGGAGCTCGATGCGGGACTCGATCCAGGGACCCTGGGATCATGACCTGAGCTGAAGGCAGATGCTTAACCAACTGAGCCATCCAGGCACCTGAGATAGGACCTTTAAAAGAGATAAAATCAAGTCAGTAGGATGGGCCCTAATCCAGTATGAGTGGTATTCTTTTAAGAAGAGATTACAACACTGACACACATAGAGGGAAGACCATGGGAAGACACAAGAAGGCGATGGCCATCTACAAACCAAGAGAGGCCTCAGGAGAATCCAACCCTGCTGACACCTTGATCTCAGTATTTATACCATCTAGTCTA